GCAGCAGCAAAGCTGGGCCACCAGAAGCAGAAGCTTCCAGACCACAACTTCCAAGCAGAGCAGAAACAGTCGGTGGCCAGACCAACCTCTTTTCACCACTCACCCCTTGCTGGAGCAAGCGCCTTTGCGGTCTGAGAAAAGGTAGAACCACGCCGTCGTAGGAATCCTGCTGTCAACAAAGAAACCTGCCTTGTTGAGGACCGAGTCGAAACACAAGCTAGACTCCTCGATCAACGTCTTCGTAGAAGCTGGCAAAGAAGGCAAGTAGGTCGTGGCCTCGACTTCTTGGAGATAAATCTCCATCACCTTCATAGACAACCAGCGGCCACGCCGGCGGACAATGTCTGGGCTTTCGGTGGCTTGAAGCATCCACGTAGCCCCGCCGGGACGAAAGGAAGACAGATCGAAGTGTGCAGCACCTTTGTTATCGACCAGTCCAAAGCGGCTTTGTAGCTGCTTGAAACGTCTGCGGAGAGTACCTGCAGAATACGGCCAGAGGTAAGCATCACGGGGGAGCTGGCCAAAGGCCAGGTCCAGCAGCCTTATAATATCCGGAGGGTCGATATGAGCAGCTTGGTGAAGGGCAGCTCGGCCTCGAGTTTTTGGTGACCGGATCTGAAGCAGAGCGTAGTTCATCCCAGGTGCCCCGTCACGGGGGAGAATCAAGTCCCTTCTAGCAGCAGCCAGAGCCTCTCCTATACGAAGTAACCCAGCCCACGCCAGCGCAAAAATGCCCGCTTCTCGAAGCCATCCCCAGCAGATGGCTGCCGATAGGATAGCCAACAGCAGGCCTTTGGGGAGCGCCCTGTGGTGTGCATGAGGTTCTTCTGTAAGCCAGGCAAAAGCAAGGTCCCATGCAGCACTCAGGTGCCTGCGGAGCCCAGGCCTGGCAGCTGCAATGGCATTTATTGTCTCCGAGTATCGGTAGTAAGCCGAGCCGCTCCGAAACAAGTTCCGACCGTAATTTACCAACAGAGCAGCAATGTCTTCAGCACGGTCCAGGGGTAGCGCCAAAACGTCCTTCAAGGCAGGGTGCCCCATTTGCAGAAGCCAATCTTCAAAGTCAGCAAGCAGCCGAGCCCGATTTGCACGAGTGGTTGGGCGTACAACTCTGTCCGCTATCAGCTCAATGGGTAACCTGGTCTGTGCTCTGCGAGCGTCGGCAGGGGTCCGAGGGGCAGAGGCATCCATGGCTCGAGTGAACCTACCAAGGGAGGCCCAAAAGACCCAGAAAACCCTGAACCAAACCCAGCCCTCGCCAGGGAAACCGCAGGTTTTGTCAAAGAAGGAAGGAGGGACAGGTCGAGCAGGGGCAGCAAGAAGGCAGGCGGCGAAGAATTCCATAACACTGGATATGTTCGAAGATGTGGCTGGACAGGCTCGAGCCCACACGAGGGCGAGCGGCAATGGAGAAAGAAAGCCAAAAGTGGCAAAGAGGAGGAAAGAAGAAAGAAGAAGTCCACAGGCAAATCCACATGGAAGGCACAAAATCCAAAGGTCGGTCTTCCAGGGGTGAGGCCCGGGCGGAGAGAGAAGAGGTCCCTCCCCGGGGAAGCCAAGTGTGGCATCGAAGTCTCGGAGGCATCCCCCTGCGTTGGATGGTTCGGCAGCGCCACCCAAAGCCGAAGAGATGGCAGGAGACAAGGGCCCGGTCTGCAGGAGGACAAGCAAAACCAAGCGAAGCCAGGAGGCGTGTGCTCGTTGAAAACGCCTTGCGCCAAGACCATGGAGGGTCCACGAAGGGAGCTGCTGAGAAAGGCTTGTTGTTGAAGAAGGTCGGACCTCTGAGACACGAGTTGGGTCGTCGGCTATATTCAACCTTGTCGGGGCAAAGCCTAAGGAAGGATAGAGGCCGTACGCAACCTGAATGGCACAAGCTCGGGCCAGAGCAGGGGACAAGGCGAAGGAGGTCGAGCGGCCTTTGGCAGCAGCTGCCTTCGCAACGACAGAATCGAGCAGCACGGTAAAGCGGCAATCGCCAGTCTTCAGAGCAAGGTCCCGGAGCAGCACCACATATGCAGAGAGTTCAAGCACGTTGATGTGGTGTGAGTTCTGCCATTTAATGATGCGTCGGACCTGCCACCTAGCCGTCATGAGGAGGTCGTTGACGATCAGGCTTTCGAGGGCAGGCCGAGGAGAGCTCTCAAGGCTTTCCTTGTAGAGGGCATCCCTCAAGGCACAGGCGATTTCAGAAGCAAGGCCAGGTGGAAGGTAGGCATCAAGGGGCCCGCCACCACGTGAGAGGGCTGAGTGATCACGCCCACAAGCGCAGCTCCTAGACAGTCGGTGCAATGGCAAGTGAGCAGCAATCAGGAGGGTGCGCGTGGGTCTCCTGCTGCCAAAAACACAAGTGCAAACCTCAAGCAGGTCGGTCATCTCTGAGGTTGCAACAGCCTTCCATTCCTTGGTGCGAAGAAGCAGCGAGGAGCAGGGCAAAATAGCAAGGGCAGGCCGACCGAGGCGACGGGCAAACTTGAAGAAAGCCAGGCACCGGGCAGCAGTAGCCCTAGCTGTAGCCCAGCGTTGCCCAAACAGACCGAGCCTACCAGCGGGCGCTTTAGGTGGTTCCCGGAAGCCAGCGCCAGCGAAAGGGCCCGAAGGCGGATGGAGCACAAGGGCCCGCACCTGGTTCTCCTTTAGAGCCGCATAAAGCCACACCGAGAAAGCAGGATCACCGATGTCAAAGTGTTCGGAGGAAGCAGGGTGGATCGGGGGCCCAGCCCGCAATCCAACAGCGGCTGCATGTCTTCCTAAGGGCCCAGTCTTCTCGCCAATCTCCAGGAGATCCAAGACAAAAGGCATGCTGGGTGCAGCAGGCTCGGAACCCAGAGGCGGGCACTCAGTTTCATCGGAGCACTCCTCGCCGAGAGCTTGCAAGATTGAGGTGGCACCAGTGGATAGACGGCTATAAGCTCCCCTCCGGTCACCATTTAGCCAGAGGCTTCTTGCCTGGGCCGCGTCGAGTGGGGCCTCGCAGTAGGCTCCGAGAGCTAGCGAAGCATCGGTGGCATAGACCTTCTCATGTTGCTCCACAGCCAGGTTTGTAGCAAACATAGGAGAGAGGGCGGCAGCCAAGCACAGCTCCTGGGCGAGCTTCCGTGGTTGAGGCACAGGTCTTTGCAAGGGGTCCCCGGGGGCCGCTCGAGATTCAGGGCCAAAGGTCTTGCGGAAGATGCAGGTGAGGCAGCGGCGATACATGGCACAAGAGATCCAGGCCCCGGTGAGGCGGGACAGCAGGCGTGCAGATGTGATAGGCAGCCGGGCAGCCCGTAGGCTAAGCACAGCAAGAGCAACACGTCGCCCCAACGGGGCCCCAACTGGCACACACCCTCGGCTCACCTGGGGCTGCTGGGAGTCAACCTCGGCACCTATTGCCTGGAAAAGGGTGGCGGCCTCAACGTCCTTGTCAGGAGAGCCCTGCACCTGATTTTCGCAATAGGCAATGGCAGCCCTGTGATGCATGAGTCGGGCATGCGATGGCGCAGCAGGGTCACTGCCGAGAGGGACGGCCGACAAATTCACGAGATCATCTATCACAAGTGCTTGCCAATCCTCGCCTTGGGGAAGTACCGAGTTTCCCTGCAGTCGGGTCCACGGCTCGAGAGCATCATAGGCCGAAAGAAGTTGAGAGTGCCCTTCCAATGCAAACTCGACGCCTAAATGGTCGCCTTGTAAGAGCGAGGCAAAAGCCGGGACAAGTCGGGCAGGAGCTCGCGTGTGCCGCGACTGTGACAGCCGCTCCTCAGTCCATGTCGCCAGCGCCCTGGTGCCTTCGAAGGCGGAGGCTTCATACCCGAATGGCAACCGGTTGCAATCTGCCCTGGCAGCAGTTACTTCCAATTGGTGATAGAAATCACGCCGATCCGAAATATATGCAACCAGCTGGGACCGCCGACGTGGTAGCTGGTACGCAGTGAGAAGGCTGCCTTGGGGCAGCAGGCGGGAAGGCCCAGTGGGGTGCATCTCGGCACGGTTTGCCGGACGGCGGTCGCCGATCTGGCGATCGGCGGTGGCTGTTTTATAAGAGTTGAACACTCTACATGAGCGGGCCAGTGCAGCCTCAGGTGGCAGCGGAGGCACTAGCCGCAAAAGCCCACGGGCGTCCCAGAGCAAAGCCAGCTTGAGATGCTCGTTGGCATCCTCTGTCTGAAGATCTGGGAGATCGTAAGTGCCCAGGGGCAGGCCATGTCGCAGTATGAGGGGCTCCTGGAACGGAAGCCACAAAGGGCCCTCAAGGAAGGAGGCGATAGGCCAAGCGCCGGTCCCGTGCAGTTTCAGCCGAGAGACGTCCAAAGACCGAAACGGTTGTAGTTGAGGAAGGTCGGCTGAGGGAGGCACGCTAGGGATGGGGCCATGGCTGGCCAGCAGGTCAGCAGAACAACTGGAACCAAGGCTACCCAAGGAGCCGGCAAAAGACTCAAGTTCGAGAAGGCGGGCAACCAAGTCGGGCCCGGAACGACCCGGCGGGAGTGGGAACTCCTCTTTCCGGGAAAAGCACGCAACCACAAAGGAGCGAATGCGCCGGTAGCACGCCAAATGACCGGCATTCGGCTCCCTCCAGAGCAGATGGCCCGGGGCCCAACGGCCACAGTCATGCAGAAAGTTGAGGGCGGCCACAACAATGTGCACGGAACGGCGCAGATACAAACGCTGCTTCTGAGCCCGGGGCAAGTCTGGGGAAGTCTTCCCAAAGAGGCCTAAGTAAGGCATGGGGAGAGGGAAGGTTGCGGTGGCTGGGGCAGTGCCGCAGCGGCTGGCAGGATTTCGAAAAGTGGCGGCCAGGTAGGCCCCAAAAGGCGTGCGGGACCGCAGCAGCCACCTAGGTAAGGAGGCAGCCCAGTCCCCAAAAGAGATCGTAGTGCTGAGGGTATTTGACACATCGTCGCAAAGGCTGGCACGATGCAACGAGTCATGCTTTCCGCGCTTTGGCGAGGGGCTCTCAAAGGAAACTCTGTGACTGGTGGCAGCTGGCGGCATAAGGGCCGCCCCAGGTCGATGCGTCACTTCTTTTTCGGCGGCCGGCGCCGAGGTGGCGGCGAATCCTCTTCGTCCTTGGCAGCATCGCCCGTGGGTTGAGGCGGCGGTCGTCCGGGGCGAGCATGCTCCGCCCTGCGAGCCTGAATCGTGTCGAGCTCGCGCAAGTGGGCCAGCACCACCGACACCCACCTCTGCGATGCCATTGGTGCAAATGCTCGCCCTCTTGCAGTGGGGCCGCTGCGCGCAAGAAACATTGAAGATGGGGGATCTTCTAGGAGGGTCAGCTGGTATGCTACCTCCATGCGGCCGTGGTCCAGCGCCGCCTGTTCGAGGCAGGTGGCAAGAAGTGCCACGTGATCTCGGGCCAGATCGGTTCGGTCTGCTAGCAAGGCATCGAAAATCAAGCCCACTTGGTAGGCCAGGAGGCCGAGATCGCGGGAATTTGCCCATCCTCCAAACCTCTCGAGGTAACGGCTCATCGACACACCCTGGGTGAGCAGCTCGGCAGGCGAAGACGAGAGGGACTGGGAGGGCATCATTCGGCGAGCGATATTCTGCGTCACCTGTTGGAAGAAAGCCCCCTTTCCCTGCGCAAGTTCCTCCTGTAATTTCGCCCGTTGGGCTGAACCTCGCACGCCTAGGGCACCAGCGACGGAGGGCTCGAGAGAACCATCCCCTCCTGCAGCCGCTAGCTGCTGCACAAGTGATGTCAAGGCTTGGGACTGCAGCAACATTGCACGGGCCAAAGGGTCGCTTGAACCTCCGGTGTCCAGCGCTTCCTCGGCCTCCTGGGCTTCGTCCAGTGTGGAAACCAGCGGCTCGGCAGCGGGTAGGCGCGTGCCCGGCGGAGGGCCCAATCGTGCAGCCAAAGGGGCTGGAGCCTTTGCCGAGGCCCCCAGAGAGGAAGCGGCCCCTCCCAACGGCTGTCGGAGAGGTCCAGCACCTCCTGCTGCAATCAGGTTTGCCATCTCCTGCTGCTTCTGATCCACCTCGGCTAGCTTGCTGGTGAGGGCCGGCAAGGTTGCGCACAGAGTGTCCAGTTGGGCCGACAGCCCTGCCATCGACGGCTTCTTTGGCTTGTCCGGTGGCGCGGCAGAGGGCCCGGTGTTTCCAATGGCGCCCCCCTGCTGAGCTGTGGTGGCCTTTTGGGGCCGAGTTAAGTGCAGCACGGGGCGGGCCTTTCCCGTCATTGGTGCAGGAGCCTCGTCGGCAGAGTAGAAAGTAACCCGCTCGTAGGCGGCTGCGCTGGGGTCGGATATCCATGCCTGGGCTGCTGTCAAGAGAGCCTGCGGCTCGGGTACCAACTCGGGAGAGGCGGGGTCGAAAGTAAGCATGACCTCTGGAGGCTGATCGTGCTCGAAAGGGCCCACACGGGACAAAGCCTCCACAGATAAGTCTGCGAGTGTCACCTGGCACGTTCGCCCGGCGGGCACGAAAGTCTCTCCTGAGAAGCTGCCCGCTGGGATGTCGACCACGGTGGTCGGACCCAGCGGCGAATCGATGGTGGCCACCAAACCAGCAGCTATCTCCGAATCCTCTAGCAAGCCGCAAGGAAGAGCCAACAAGAAACCCATGTCCCTCTTGAGTACAGCTGCCGCCATGCTCTCCAGCACTCCCTCGCCATCGGCCGCTGGGTGTTCGTACACGAGTATCTGCCGAGACTGGTTACGGAACCAACTCCTCTAAGCTGAAGTAGGCGGCCATGACAGGCCAGCAGCAACAGTGTAAGTGCGAGCTTCCGCCTCAGAGGGAAAGCTGTGCGAGACCGCCGAGCTGGCAGGGAAGGGGCCAACCGCCCGTTGGTAATCTCGAAAATTTCTGTAGAGGGCAGGCTGGTGGTCACCGCCGCCCAACACAACGTAGAAGCGAGATGGCAGAGAGAGCTGAGCCGATGAAGCAGGAGAGCCAATCGCCCCCTGAAGCACAAGCCGAGCCCAGGCTCCAGCTCGCCGCAGCTCGCCAAGCCCGGCGGATGCGGTCCTCACCTGACAAGGTACCAGCGGCTGTCAGCACCGAGCCTTGGGTCAGCAGATCCGAAGGGCAGACAGGCAGAGACCTTTCCAGTTCAGCCCGAGAAGAGGGGACTGGAAGACGGGGCACAGGGCCCGGCAAGGGAACCTGAGCAGCAGGTCCTGGTTGCGAGAGACCGCCAGTGGGTCGAGATCCGGGAGTGAAGGTGGCCTCAGTGCCTGTGGAGCTGTATGTAGCCCGTGTAAAGTCACTGGCGCCTGTGCCTGGGGCCTGGTCGGGATTAGGGCCTAAGGGATCAGGTTCCTCAAAGGCGGCCGCCTGAGGAGTGCGCACGGGAGTTCTAGAGGCTGAGGTTAGGGTCCTAGGGGTTCCCGGGGCCTCCTGCAGCAGCTGCAAGTGGTCAGCAATGGAGAGAGCGGCAGGCAGCGGGCCTGTGATAGCCACCGAGCAGCCTCGGATCTTGATCACAAAAGAAGAGTGGCCGTCAGGGCCGTCTGACATGCAAGTACCCCCGAAGGCGGGCTTGGGCAGCAGACAGAGGGGCAGGTGCCGCAGGGGTAAAAGTCCAACCCCCTAGCCAAAAGAGCCCAGCAGCCAAGCAGGCAACACCAAAGAGGAAGCCAACGAGGAAGGTCAGGGCCAGTAAGGCAAAGGATGGTTGAACGCAGTAAACCGGGCACCCCAATCCCCAAAAGTTGCTGGCGAGAGCACCCTGAAGAAAGCGAACACCAGCGACTACGTCCATGAAGCTTGATCCAGCCACACACGCAGCTTTCAGCCTATCAAGTCAGTCAAGCTTATAGCTATAACCCGAAGCCCTTTGAACCCCGGCTGGCAACGAAAGAATGGCAGGCGCTGCGAGGGACTGCGATGTCCAAGTTTCATGTGCAATCGCAGAAAAGTCAGGACAGACAATGGTGGCAAGTGTAGCAAGTGCTTTGCAAATGGCATTGAAACCAATACGCAGCAGGCTATTGCGAGAACCACGAGTGGCGGAGGCGCCAACACGTGTTGCATGTTCGATAGCTCTCCCTGCGGCCGTTGTTGGGAGTAGCAATGCTACCGCGGCTGATGAAGTAGAAGCTCCTTTGGGCTTGCTATTCCCCCCTGTCTCATGCGAAAATGGACAGTCTTTGCCTCGGTTGCATGTTCCTTTTGGGAAGAACACACATGGTACGGTAGCTTTAGCCTTAGCGCTTGCATCCGCCTTTGGCGGGGGACCCTTTGGATCACCTTTCCCTTTTCCTTTACCTTTGCCTTTATCCTCACCGGATCCGTCACCCTTGGCTCCACCCTTAGCCTTAGCCTTGGATTTAGCCTTAGCCTTACCTTTTGGTGCCCCTTTGGGAGGCTTTCCGGGCGCTGCTGGAACGGCGGTGTCCTTTGCGGGAACTGCTGTTGCATTCAACTTTGTCTTTGCATTAGCATCCTGACCTTTAGGCTTTGCCGTGGTCTTATTCCCTTTTCCCTCGGTTTCTCTCAGCATTGCTCCCCTAAAGTCACGCTCGTTGGCATCTTCACGCAGCTCTGCTAAGTGATCTGAGAATTGCTCCCAGAGCCATCCGAACGTTCTCCTACGGGAAGTTGGGGAGGAATCCTTAACTTTGTCAATGATCCGTTGCATTCCCCTTGAACTCTTAATCTTAGCATAAAACCACGAAAACAAGGTCGCGTCAGACGGCCAGTGCTCAGGGGCTATCCCATTCAGAATGTATTCGACTCTTTCTTTGAAAGTCAACATCTGATTGTAAGAGAATCCGTCCAACGTTACAGCCAACAGTGTTTGCTGTGTGACCGTAGCACCTCTCACCCGATCTACGCGAAACCTGCGCGAAAGCATTGCAATCATCGCTCGACCGGATGGCAAAACCCCATGTGCGTGCGCCCTCTCAATGTACGCCTGCACTTCAAGCCCGAACTCCCCTTTCATGTACCTCGAATCCGAAATCTGCGATGCAAGGAATGAGTCTAACCGTGGGAGCTGATCAGGATTGTTCTGGAGCTGTGCAATCTCGCGGTTTGTCACCTCTGTTCTAATGCATACCTGCAGCCATCTAAGAATCCTAGCTTGGCCCGTGCGATCAATGGCAGAGTACTGCGTCAGCAGCGCGTTGCGCCACGATCGGAAACCCACACTATCCTTTGGAAGCTGTGGCATCTTCAGGTCCTTAAGATCCTTATACTTATAAGTAGCTGCTTCATAGTCCTCTTCCTCATTTCCATCAGGAGGCTGAGCATCAGCACCACCATCATAACCCCGATCATTGTTACCGGCGGCTCGCGGCTCAACAATGGGATCATCATCAACCTGTTCTTCCTCACCTTCCTCGGGATCCCCTATGTCGAAGATCTCAGGCTCAGGAGGCGGTGGAGGGCCCGGCGACCCAGCGATGGGTGTAATGGCGGGCGCAAAACCCGCACCAATCCCGATACCTTTACTTGTAGCCTGTCCCACTAAAGGTCTTAGGCTAGAGAATGGTGTCGTGAATACAGGTGATGCATTTGCATTCGATGATGGCGTTGCCGACCTCTCACACGCATAAGCTGGTGGGCGATTGGCAAGTGATGATGAGGACCGTGCCCAAGCATCAAAGAAGTTCGTTGGTGCTTGTCGCTCACATGCATAAGGTGGGGGACTGGAAAAGTACGGGGCTTTAGCAGCTTTGCTAAGTGGAATCCCCGATACCGAATAATCCGAATCCTTCTTATTATCCCTGCGCCCCTTCGCCTTTGGTGAATTTCCGGCGGACGAGGACAACACTGCATCTTTAAGCTCATTCATGGTTTGCCCAACATGCGATGCCATGGCCTTAAGCGCTTCGGTAATCTCCGCGCCATTTTGGGTTTGAGGAATCTGAGGTACACTCGTATTTACAGCACCAGCCTTCACTTCCGCTACGATGCTTTGCAACGTTGCAATCTGACTGTAAAGCTCCTGCTGTTGTCGAGCTAACATCTCGTTTTGTTGCTTCAAGCTAGCAATGGTTTCATTTGCCACAGCTAGTTGCCTCGAAGCTTCAACGGAAACCTCCGAAACCATAGCTTGCGCCTGTTGCTCAATGGCCTGAACCCGTGTTTGGGCTTGATTGCTCATGTTGGCGGCGATAGCCTGAACCTGATCCTGAGCTTGTTGTTGAACCTCGGAAACATACGCTACTGCCTGGCTTTCAACAATCTGGGCTTGCGCCAATGCTTGGGAATGAACCTGTGGGTCAACCCCTTGTACAATGACACCCAACTGCTGATGCTTATGCAGGTGAACCTCCTGTGGTGGCGGTCCATACGTCACTGGATTACCGGAAGGTGTTGGCATCTTAGGCTTTGCAACCTCGCACGCATACATGTGCTTGGGTTTCGGGGCGGCTTTGTTCCTATGGTAGGGACTAGAAGCCCTCGAAGGCCTATTTGATGATGATGCAGCAACAATCCTACCCTCGGATGCGGTTCTACTCGCGCTCCTGGGTGAGCTCTCGCTCCCGCTACTTTGTTTAGTGGCTGTTACGACCGATAACCCGAATGACACATCCGGTGCCTGCACAGCGGCAGCAGCTTCGTCGGAGGCAGAAGTGGAAGAGATCTGCAGGGGATCCGTCTCCATCTCATGTGAAGACGCCATTGTTACCACTGTGGGTGGCAGAATGCCAACGCCACAATGGTTGTTTTGCAAATATTTTGGTTCTCGGGCCAATGGGAAACCACATAAGGGTGCAGAACTAAGCAAAATGCCGCAGCACCAAACTAGTGGTTTAATAGGTGCTTCCGAGTGACTAGGAAGCACCTGTTAAATCATGTCCGAAAGGATGAACCTTAAGACCCGAATCACAATCCAATGAATCCACCCCGGGTGCAGCACAAAGCAAAATGCCGCAGCACACAACGAAGGGAAATTTAGGACTGATAACGTGTCAACTTAGGAACCTAATCACAATCGAATGTGGGATTCTTTCAGCGCCACCCGGCGATTACCGGCGACACAATGTCGGCCAGCTCACGGCGACCGCCCCAAGGAAGGTGGATGCCTTTCCAGGACTCCAGATGCCACCTGTTGAATTCATCGCAGATGTCCCATTTGTCATCAATGTGTACGAGGGGCAGGTTCTGCAAAGCCTCCACGTCGCGCAGCGAGTTCCATAACTGGGCCGACTTATCTGGCCTGGGAATAAAAAGGCAAGCAAAATGCCGGACGGCGTAGCGATTCGTCCTACAGACGCGTCGGATTGCATCAATCGCGTTTTCAATCAAGCCGGTCGTGGAGCATTTGCTGCACAGCAGCACAAGTACATCGGGTCGCGCACTCAAGCGTTGAAGAACCTCCCCGGTGCTTGCAAAAGACCGGTCAAAGACTTTATGATAGTCGAGGGACAACACAAAGCGCACCCCTGCTCGATACTGCAATGCCCGCTGAAGATGTCTGCCAAACTCTGCTGTGTCGTTAAAGGTGTGCAGAACTTCAAGTGGTGGCGGCGAGGGCGGATGTGGCACAGAGGCCGAAGCAACAGAAGTGGAAGCAGTAGCCAATGCATCAGAAGAAGAGGAGGAGGAGGCAGCGGCCGTTGACACTTCCTGTCTACGATTGTATTCACGCCACTGCTCCGATGTCCAATCTCCAATGCAACCCGAACCTACGGAAACCCCCGACGCCTTCGGCACAAAAGATTCCTCTATCGTAGGATACTCATTACAATATTCGTTATCCGAAATGTCCTGCGGCGGCTTTGGCCGCTTCTTGGGGCGAACTACCAAGTAGCCCCCTTCTGGAGCCTCCCGTCCTGCAGATGGAGGGATTGGTGTTCTAATTCCCAAGTGCTTAGGCCTAGGAGGTGGAGGAACCGGAGTCCTAGTACCACCTATTCTTGGTCTAGACTTTGGGGGCTTCGGAGTAGGAGGCAAGTCGGCCGAGGCACTAGCGGGAGGTCTCGGCAGCTCTGGGACCTCATCCCAAAGATCCACAACATCCGCTACGACGCCCAGTGCATTAGACTCCTCAATATCGGCGTCCGGTGCATTAGGTTCTTCGTGGATGTCGTCGTCTGCCGCGTCAGGCTCATCGTCGCGCTCGGGTGCATCAGCAGCCTCCTCGAGCTCGTCGTCGATGTCGCGACCGGGTGCATCAGCAGCCTCCTCAAGCTCGTCGTCGCGCTCGGGTGCATCAGTATGCTCCTCAAGAACGTCGTCGCGCTCGGGTGCATCAGCAACCTCCTCAAGATCGTCGTCGCGCTCTAATGCATTAGCATAGTCGCTAGGATCGTCCTGAAGAATCGGCACCGACTGACCAAAGAGGAAATCTGGATCCTCAATCTCATCAAGTCGCCTGCACACTACAACAAGGAGAGCTGACGCCTCTGCCGTATCAAGTGTGTGTAGATGCTGCTTGAAGATGTTGAGAATGGTCACGGCCATCCCTTTCCTCCTCCTATTCTTAATCTTTCCTCCTCCAGATAGCCCATTAAAAATCTCGATAGATCGCTGCAGCCTCTCATCATCAGCAATGGCCGCCGAGAGGGCGATGATCCGCCGAGATGTGGGATCCATCCCCAAAACACTATGTAATCCCAATGCCGTCCTAGTGGCTTTCCCTCAATCTACCCCGTGCCGTTTTAATGGCTCTACGGACAACGTGAATGTGCGAAGTGCCTTCACTAGACTTCACATCACAGCCTTTGACGGTTTCTCCGATGACTAGAAAACCGGAAGGTCAAGAGTCAACCACTAACAACACCAACCAAGCCGTCGGCTTCAAGCCAGCGTCGTCGACGAATGCACACAGGTCTTTGACCCTGAATCCTTAATCGTTGGTTTCAGTGCACGGGCAATGGTGCTTTGCTGATTGTTGCTCCTGTGGCGAGGTGCCAGCAGGAGGGCAATAACCCAGTCAACCACAAGTCCTCAACCTAAAGGGAGAACCGCGGGACTGCAGGATGTGCCTTCGATGTTGTTTGGGACGATGGCGGTGATGGGAAACCGTTTGCAACCCTTCACAAAACCCTTCACACCACAAAGCCCTAGGCCTTCCTAAACCGTGAACGGGTCTCGGAAGAGGTGTATGGGTACTCACCACAATCCTTGATTGGATGATTTGCAAGTCCACTCAATTGCTTAAGCAGACGCAGTTTGGGAAATCAGGCTTGGAGTTCAGATTAAGTCCACCGGTGGCGGGATGCCAACACGGTGACTCAAAGACACTCTTACCTGTTGCAATGCAGCAGCCTCGACGCAGCAGGCGGAGGCAAGCGCGAATGCAGCCTTTTGGTTATGGGTAGTATCTCGGGATTCCCCAATCGATGTAATCGTCTGCGTGTCGGAATTGGGTAACCCTATGTATTTGATGCAATCGGTACAAGAAGAAGGATGTGCGATACCACGATTCAATGGACCTGCGAACAATCCTTCGCCAGCGCGTTCTAGTCCTGTTCCACCTCCTACGATTCTCAAGGTAAGTGGGGAAGAACGTCTCAAGTACCCAAAGTCTTATACTATAGTAAAGATCCACAAACCAGTCGTGCAGGGCTTCACACACAGTCGGATGCCCGTCTGCTCTGGGCATACACGGTGATTAAGGTGGTGCCTGAGGCCAAGGGGAGGGTCCACGAAGCGGAAACCACTGGACAGGTACCTCCTCAAGTCTAAGACTAAACCACCTGCGAAGTGTGAGAAGTTCTTGAACCCTTAGTCTGGCTTGCCTGTAAACCCTTTTCTTTAGGGCCCTTGCAAGTCTAGTCCAAAGATTCAATGGATGACTGACGAGTGCACGTGTTATCTGTCGCACGCGCAACTGTTGCATGAATCTAACCCAGTGATTGAAGTGCGTAATGTTTGCAGATATGGAACTCAACCCGGTGGCCTGGCTCTAGCACAACACGGGGAGTATCAGTACGAGGCAGGACAGCTAATGCCCTACGCAATGCGATTTCGCTCTCAACACCAAAGGACGGTGGAGAAATATGGACGGCTATGGCTCAGGTAGAGGCTTTAGACTCTCCTAGCCACAACACAAACGAAGTATCTCAAAGCTGAGGCTGTTAACCAGAAGAACACAAGAGACACAAGTGTTCTAGCAAGGAACAGCAACAAGTACAGCAATCGCACTTGTTTTCCTTGAGCCAAATGTTCAGTTGTTCGGTCTTCGTTCTGTCCTAACTTGGTACCTGTAGTTACACTAGGAAACATGCCCAGGGAACGTGTTTTCTCAGCTTTCATCTGCACGATCTGGCAATGACCTTGCGGTAGTCCGCTTTGCGAACTTGACGCTTTGCCACCACAGGTGCTTTCCCAAAAACATGGACCGATCACAACCAAGGCTGCGACTGGCTTCACCGAGCAAGACCAAGCTGTCCAAATTCATGGCAGATTCGAACGGAAACATGGCGGATAATGTCACCTGAGCTGCTGGGCTTCGCTGTCGTGCAACAACGAATTTCGTTGTGCCAAGCCTGGGCACTGAATTCGTGCACAGAGCAGTGCTCCGTGAGGAAGCTGAGGAGCCTGCAAGCCCACGGATGGGGCGCTGCAGCGTTTCGCAACTGTGATCTGAATGGCTGCCACAATTTCAATTCAATTTATCTTGCTTTATGCAAGCGAAATACACGTACCTACTGCAATCACTGCAGTGCAGACGATCATGCCACAACAACACAGGAGCCAAAGCCATGGTGTGCCATCGAACCAATGGCAATAAAGCCTGGATTTCAAAACCCGAATTTGACCGTGCCACGAATATAAGCAACATGAAAAACTTCGTCTTTCCACATTCGCTGAAACCCTCTGCGACATGGAACTGCAAGAAACCAAACGTGCCATGACAGATTCGGAAATTCTTGCTCACGTCAGCTTACGGCTACATGCATTTTCATTTTCAATCTAATACATTCTGGCAATTGGATGGAACACTGGTTCCTTGTCGATCATTATTGTTTGCTGTCAATGTGTACTTGTACCCCGGAGGCTCAAATTTCCTTCGCCCGGAAGGCCTAAGGAGAGTGTTAGTGTACGGTTCAAGGGAATCATAGGGAATCCACCACGTGAAAGACGAGTGGCCGTCATTTTGGTCCGCACAGCCGGATGTTGCACAGTGAGATGGAAACCTCCAAAATGGAGAAGCCGAGGGAATCCTTCCCCCAGCATGTAGGTTGTTTTGAACAGACCTTACCACCAAAAAAAAAAACTGAAAGGGTGGGTTGGGTGGGACACGAAAAGGGACTAAGAGTCACCTCCAAACTGATCCACAATGTACCGGAATGAAACATATCGTTCGAGCTGACAAGGAAGCATTCAGCGCATCCAGCAACATTTTCGCACAGCTACCATGATAATGACTGGCATGCCCATTCGGCGAAGGGCACATGCTCGAATGTTGATGCTGCAACGCCTTTGGCGAAAGCAGCAATGCGCAGGATTTCTGAATCGAGAATGTGCCGATCACCCCTTGCAAAACCGTAACCGTAGCCGCTTGGTTCACGGGCATGTGCCCGTGGCTGAAACGACCTGGCGATTCATCAGACGCTGAACCTGGAAGATCGGAGGCGTCTTGCGAAGTCTCAACGGAACTAACACGCAACAGCATGACAGAGAATAGGAGCAGGGAGAGAAATCTCATCAGCAAGTTTATGCGACCCTTCC